CTGATTTAACAATAACACGTGCTATTATTACAGTATGTTGCCTAATATAATAATGGCACGTAAGTCAACAAAACATTTGTTAGATTTGCACCAACATTCACTTTTTTAACTTACGGAAGCCTAATCAACAATATTATATTTTCTCTCATTTCATTTGTTGCATCAGTGTTTGTGTTATCTTCCGCACTTTTTGTAATGTTTTTTTTTGTTGTTGCAACAACAACAAAACATTAAAAAAAAAATTACATAAGTAACTGTTACTTTTGCGTTTTTAGAAGTCATGGGTTTTGGCATAATCATAAGCTGAATTTTATTAATGCCAGTACGTCCATGGCTTAATACTTTCGTTGCATATATTGTCTTATTTTGGTATCAAACACTTTATAGCAATTCTCTGATGAATAAAGTTTATATATATATAATCGCAAGACAATGTTTTAACAAATTCTAGACCTTTCTTATTTCTATGGTGATCACCAAGGCACAATCTACAACTCAATCTTAGAAAAATATTATGAAATATTTTTTTCCATGTGTTTCAGTTGAAGAGATAAGGCGTATTTTATACTGGCGTAAGTTTTCTCCCCCCCCCCCATTATTAGTATTTTGCTATAAACGTTTTCACTCCAACTATCAACTTTATTTCATACTTCTTTTTCTTAGTATTGGTTTTACTTTACTTTTTTAGTATTACTTTCCCTACTTTTCTACTTTTACTATTATATATTCCTAAATATACTTTTGATTAGTTTAAATTTAGTATTTTGTTTCTTAATATTCACTCGTATATACATAATAATATACCTCTATTATTTTAACAAGTTTTTTTTTCCAGAAAAATATGAACAAGGTAAATTTACATTGAATATATTACTGGTAGGACTTCCAGAAGATCACATGATCTTATCATGAAGCCCTTTACAATCTATATAACGAATTAAAAGGTAGAAAATTTACAAAATTAAAAATTACATAAGCGTTAGAATATTCTTCAGATGTTAAGCAAGTTTTAACATAATATTTTATAATATGGATATATAACATTCTCAATATTGAACAATATTATAATATAAAGTATTTAGCATATATTGTTTAAATAATATTCATCGCACAGTCGACAAAAATATCAAATAACTTGAAATACTAAAAATAAATAAATATATTTTGTGTTGAAAAGATTATTTCTTTTGTTTTCTTTTTAAAGGAGGAATAAGACCATTTAAAAGAAAAATCAAAGTTAGGTAAAACTATTTTATTCCAAAGAAATGGACCACGATAAGAAATACAAAACTGGTCAATTTTTGTTTTGCAAAACGGCTCTTGAATATTTTTACTATCACGAAGTTCATATTTGTTTTTTGGTTTCAAATTATAGAGATTTATAAATACACTTGGAGATAAATTTTCTTTACATTTAAACATAAAACATAAAATATTAAAAATATTTAGTTCGTATATATTTAAAGCTTTCATTTCTATAAGAAGTGGTGTTGAGTTTGAAAAACGATTTCCAAAATTAATTATGCGAGCTGCGTGTTTCTGATGCCGATAGAGAGATTTAAGTTTGGTTTTGTGAGCGCTTCCCCATATAATATTGGCATAGTTTATATGGCAATGAATAAATGAATAATATAGTTGAGTTAGTTGCTTTTTATTTAGTATATAACGAGCTTTGTATAGAACTCCAATGTTTTTAGCAACTTTCATTGAAATACTATCAATTTGCTGACTCCAAGATAAGTTTTCATCTATTATGACCCCTAAAAATTTTGTAAATTTTTCTCTTTTTATGATTGTATTGTCAATGAATAGGTCAGGTAAGATATTTTGGATTCTCTTTTTTTTAGAGGTTGGGTGAAAAAGTATATTATATGTTATTGCTGTAAATATTTAATCGACGCTTTTATTTTTGTTTAAATTCAGTGTTATTATCTTGGAGAGTTTTAACAAGTTTTTGAAAAGTTTCAACGACTATATATTTTTTTAAACTTACTCAAGACGCATTCGTAAACTCTGAAGTTGCGTTTCTATCGTTTTCTAATCTTTTTGTTCATTTTTACTTTAGATAAATAAGCCTTTTTTCGTATAAAGAATTATTGTATTTATTGTATTGTAAAAAAGGTAACTATTTATGTCGACACTTCATTAAAACCTAATTAAGTAAGCGAAAATGTTTTATTTGATTCCCCTGAACAAATTTGGTGCGAAATATCGTATAGTTCCGAACACATCCTTCTGAGTTGCATATACAGGTTATGCATGCTCGATCCACTGGAGAGAATTGAAGCGTCCAATACTAAAGTAAATGAACTTCTGTTTAATATATACAGCGGCTAGTTGATTTGTGGAGACTTTAATTTGCTAGGGGTTCACTGGGATTCGAGCAGTATTTTAACTGTCAGCAACACAGATACTTTTTCAAGTGATTTTGTTGTTTCTGATACAATTCATTACTAAGACCACTTTTCAACTTGATGAAATCACGGCGAACAATATTCTTGATCTAATTATAGTCGAAAATGAAAATCGGGTCCTCGATATTATTTACCATGCACCTTTAACGTGTCTGAAGAAATCTCATCACGTCCTTCAATGGGATTACGTTGTTAAAAGCGCTGCAGTTGTAGGTAAACCCATTGAAAAACGCATTTATCATAAAAGTAACTTTGTAAAGATATCCGGATATTTTAACAATATCGACTGGCAGATGGGATTCAATGAACGCAATACTGATGACTGTTATAACATTTTCCTGATGTTTCGATGTAGAGCGAATGGATATAAAAATCCTCAACTAGTCAACGAATACATAGCGTGTAATATTTAATTGAAGAATTGCGTGTAATATTTAATTGAAGCTCGTTTTGAGTTTAAATTTGATTTAGCGATAAAACTGAAGCACAACCCAAAGATCCTGTTCAAGTGTGTTAATAGCAAACAAAATGTTAGAATTACAAACAGCCTTAAAAGAAATCAATAGCGACACTATTACAAATCCAATAGAAATAGAAAATTGGCTGAATGACCACTTTCAAACTGTTTTCAAAAAAAATGAAGACAAAAAATTGCCGTGTTTTATAAAACGAACTGAAGCCATCTGCAAATATTTGCAAATAACACAAGTTCAAGTTAAAAACAAGCTAAACAATTTATCAGTTAATAAAACCGTTGGTGTGGATGGTGTAAGCATATATGTACTAAAAAACTGTTCTGACAGTATCTTAATACCTTTAAGCATAATTTTTCAGAAGCCGCTAGATAGTGTGTGTTGTCCTAAAGTATGGAAAAAGGCTAATGTAACACCACTGTTTAAAAAAGGAAGTAGACTCGACCCAGGCAATTACTGGCCTATATCCTTAACATTAATTGTATGTAAAGTGATGGAGAAAACATTACGTGACACTATGGTCGATCACTTAGTCGAACATAGCCTTATTTCAAAAAATTAACATGGTTTTGTCAATAAAAAATCGTGTGTGACTAATTTGTTGGAGTCAATTGACGTGATGTCAAAAGTTTATTTAGTGGTATCCCTCAAATTCCTCAAGGAATCGTTTTAAGTCCACTACTTTTTATCATTTTTGTGAACGATATATCCAATATCGTTAACCATCTATGTAAAATGTATGCTGATGACACAAAACTGCTGGCCCGTTTAGACCACCTATTAGCTTCACAAGTTTTCGGTAAAAAAAAATTATAAAACTGAAACTTTGCCCAGTAATTCCCTAAGGTATACAGATCACGTAAAAAAAATGCCCCACGATTCCCTATAGAAGAACCCCTTTTTCGGGCCCAGTTTCTAAACGATAAATGCCCAAAATGGTCAAAAAAATATATTTTTGAAAATTGACTTATTATATACCATTTTAAAGTATTTTTTATGCTGAACAACTTTTTGAAAAACACTCTGGTCTTAAAATGAAAAGACGACTAGTTATTTAATAAATAAACGCTATAAATAATACGTGAAGCAATTTTTTTTTGAAAGTTTTAATAAAAACTTATTTTTTTTAAATTATATTTCTGGATTTAAAAATCAGGGAAACATAACATGTTTCTATCGTCATTTTCATAATTTTTCATTTTGTTTTCTTCTTCAAATTTCATTGCCCTACAGGAAATAGATAAGCAAATATACGACTGATATTTTGTAGAAATATTTATATGTGATAATAAAGATAAATGATGAGAGAACACGTTTTTTTTCTAATTTTCATTGTTAAAATTTACCTTGCTATACATTCTGTTCCACGACATTCCCCACAAAATTGCAAACACTGTATTCCGTATTTCCTGCACATATATGCTTTGCCACCACATGGGTTTTTTGTTGTTGTCTTAATGATTACCAAAAAAGGAAATTGTTGTAGTTAAAAATAAAAAATATCTAATTATAAATTATATAAATAAAATTTTATAAGATCTTTTTAAGGATTTCGAAAAAATACATTAATTTCAAAACAAACTTTGCAATTACATGTAATGACCTTTGTTAGTGCTTCTGGCGCAATGTCTTCATTGCGCCAGATGCACTAACAAAGCCGCAAAATTAATTAAAATTTTCAGTGCGTTCTCTAAAATGCCGCAAAATTAATTAAAATTTTCAGTGCGTTCTCCTACGGAAATAGGAGAATAATAGCAGCCCTATTTAAGAGCAAAGAATTTTAGAAGATTTTGAAAAAAATAGCCGTATTCAGAGTGAGTTTGTTAGCTTTAAACCATCCATTGAAATTAGCAAGTTCCTTATTTATAGCGGCAAAGATTATCGTAATGAGGATTTTATACTCACTCCATTTTATAGAGTGGATAAAAATTTTCAAATATCGTCAGCAAATAGGATGAAATTTAGAATACTAGATGATAAGTAAAAGTCATTTATATAAATTATAAAATATAGATTCATGAAGCACACCGCAAGTAATGTTTTCTAATTGGACACAGGTGATAAGATACAACATAGACACTAGTGCGCTGTTTTGAAAAGAACAAAAACTTTACTTAACTATAAACGAATACAAGTTCACCTTTTAAAAAATAAATCTTTTAAAAACTATATATATCCAATTTAAAAATATTCAAAAAGTGTACAAAAAATATTTTCTACATTTGTAACATAAAAAAAATTATAAAAAACAATCATATATTCAACTAAGAGATACATCTATACCACCAAATTTTTTGCAATATTCTTCAATACCAATTCTATATTGTTCTAAACGCTCCTCCGCAGCAACTCTGAAAAATGTTTATAATAATAAAAATAAAAAATAAATAAAAAAAAACAAAAACAAAAAACGAGTAACCTAATAACTATTTATTTCACATACCTTGCTTTATGCTCATCGTACAGTCGCATTTTTAACATTTCTCTAATTTTCAATTCTGATTCCAGTTTATTTTCAAGTTCATTTAATTGAGTCTGGAATTGACTTTTTATTTCTTCAACGTCAAATCTTTCATTCATTTCGTTTAACCTTTCATTTGCGTAACGCTCTTCGTAAACTAAACACATAATTTTTTTACATTTACAAGGGACCAGAAGAACAAGAACATAGCTATTTGAGTATTCGGATTTATCCATGTGAACTTTATTTTACTTATAGAGGTTTCTTTTAAATTCAAATAGCTTATATAAAATTTATAAGTTATATAAACTTTAACAAAAACTTATATCAAATTAATATAAATTAAAAAAAAAATTAAAAAATACTTGTATAGATTCAATGAAAAATTTATATTCACGGTGCATAGGAACATGATCTGAGACCTTGCAACACATCCCAAAAAAAAAATTTTTTTTATAAAAAGACTCTTCTTTATTTCAAAAATGTAAAAGACAACTTTTTTACTGGGGGCCTAGGGAGAAATCACGTATTTTAGGTGAGTGCCGATTAATTTTGTTGTTCAAAATAAGTAACTAAGAGCTACGTGGTATACTCAAATTTTTAGTATGTTAATACTGGTATCAAATAAGGATGAATTGCTAAAAGTTTAGGTAATTGGAGCTAAATCAACCCCGTACCGACCCCTAATTGTCCCCTTCCTAGAACTACGTCTCCTAAGATAATAAATTTTTTTTTAAGTTTTATCATAAATTAGACCAATATTTACCGACAGATTTCAAGTTTCATCAAAAAATCTCTTTTCGTTTAATATTTAAGAACATAGGAAATTTAAAATTCCACATATTTACCCCCTGAAATAACTTTGAATGGTCGTAACTTTTAAACTAGAAACTTTTTTTTGATAAAATTTAAAATCGATGAATTTTGATCTAGTTTAATATAATACGAAAAAAAAAATTGAAAATTCCTTTAAGGAACCATACACTAGGGGTGGGGTATTAGGGTTAGCTACAATTTTATCGCCGTAAAAACAGCTTTATCTCCGTAAAAAAAACATTTCTGGTCTATGTGGTTAAATTATTATTTATATTTTGCATGTCATATACCATCATATGATATATCAAAAAATTATGTTAAACAATTGTTCATATTATACTTTTTAGGGGTCGTCCATAAAGTACACGTCCATAAAATTTTGTCTATAACACCTAAAAGTATATGTAGACTGGGAATATTTACAAGATCTATTATTTTTTTATTTTTGTCCTCTGTTAATAAAGGGTGTTGAACAACTTTTGTGAACATTTTTGCATTTTTTTGCACCATCAGATACCCATTGGTCGTATAATCTCCACAAAGATTCTTAAGAATAATGATCAGCATTTTAAGAGTTAGGAAATGAGGTCATGCAAAACGGACAAGGGTGCTTTGATGTTGCAGTTTGTTTTCCAACCATTTGAAGCAAAACCTTTAGATCTTCATATACTGTGTAATCTAAAGAAGAATTGTTCAATTTATTTAAAATTATCTGCAGATTATGGTATTTTTTGTTCAACTAAAGGCAAAATGGCCAGTATAATAGTTTTATGTACACTTGTATCTTTGAAATCTTTGAACGCATATCTATCACACTTCCTCAATTTATTTGGGATTTTATTATTTTCTAACTCTGGTTTAAGGGTCATTGATAAAGTAACGTTAAGGAATCTCTGCCCTCCATCTACACCTAACTTGATATCAATACCATTTATTTTTTGATGTTTTTGAAATAATTTTCCAATCAGCTGGTTGCTCTCAGTCAATTCAATATAGAAACCAGATTCCACACTTTTCCGTTTTCCTTCACTTCTCACAAAGTGTACAACTTCAATCATATTACGATTACTTAAAAGTCATAACAAAATTATTTAAAAAATTGGCTTTAAATTTATAATTAAATTATTAAAAAATTTTAAGCACCAAAACCTTACCTGGTATGTAGTTTTAGTTGAAGTTTGTTCAATTTATCCAAAGAAAAGAAAGGTTTTTTAACCTCAGCCTTTCCGACAGAGACAACAAGTTTCTTTGAACCAAAAGTTTTCAAAGCTAAAGTGTTACCCGATTCATTTGTGGTCAAGCCTTACATAGAACTGGACAGAACTTTTCCTTGCGTTGTAGGGGATGTTGATCTTACAATGGCCCTCAAATTCTTTTGCATTTCTAACTTTGTACAGGGATGTGGAATTCCTCGTGACACTTGAACATTTATGCAAGTTTTATCTGAAATGTCTTCGGCACTTTTATAAACAGGTTTTACCGGAACGCAAAAATATTGGCCCCTAACCATAGGGGCCAATATTTTTTCCATTTTTGATTTGCGCCCATTTTCACATATAAAACCTTCACATTTTCTGCCTCTGATAACTCTGGTATTCAGGTCTAAATTTATCTAGTAATTATTGTTCCCATAATAACGTAACTAAATTTTAACTAAAGTTCATTATATATGAATATGTATATTTTACCTTAATAACACGGTCCCATAGTAAAGTTAAGGTCAGTTCCAGCAAGTTTTTTTCTACATTTTGAGCAAAGAAATGGTAGGAAGGTCTATGTTATTAGCTGAATAATCTTTCCAGAATTTCGTTTTGATAAAGTTTGAATAGTCATTTTTCTTTTTATTTAGATTTATATATGTTTTTTTGTCATTATTTATAGGCCTTAAATCCTTGCATTTCCTGAAACAGCAAAAGCAAAACATTTTAACAAAATCATTGTGTTCTTTTGAATGGTTAGGCATTTCAAATGAATGCTTCAAATAAAAACTTCTGATGTGCATGATATATTGGTCCCATGAATTAAATTTCAATTTAATGACCAAAATTATTTTAATTATTAACACTTAGCGACGGCTAGCCATTGCTAATTGCTAATATTTGAAATAGAATTGTAATAATTAAATTCTAATAATAGTAATAACTGAAATAGCAATAGTAGAATTAATTAATAAAGTTAATAGTTCAGTTTTCAATTTCACTTTTGAAACTCAAAATAAATTCTTGCGGAAATGGTTTTATGCAATTTTGTGGTGTTAGAATACCCCTAGGGTATGGTTCCTAAAACAAATTTTTCAATTCTTATTTTGATTTTTATTAAACAAAATTAAAATTTATCGACAGATTACAAATTTCATCAAAAAAAAAATTCCTAGCTTAAAAGTTACGATCATTCAAAGTTATTTCAGGGGGTAAATTTGCGAAATTTTAAACTTCTTATGGCCATAAATCTTAAACGAAAAGAGATTTTTTGATGAAACTTAAAATCTGTCAATAAATTTTGGTCTAATTTATATTAGAACTTAAAAAAAAAAATTTATTATCTTAGGAGACGTAGTTTCAGGAGGGGGGCAATTAGGGATCGGGACAGGGTTGGGTTAGCTTTAATTACCTGAACCTTTAGCAAGTCATCCTCATTTGATACCAGTATTAATGTTAGTTAGCTATGTGTATGTTAGTATTAATCTTAGTTCTTAGTTAGCTATGTGGCATACTCAAATTTATCTTGAACTACAAAATTACTAGACACTCGCCTAAAATACGTGATTTCTCCCCAGGCCCCCAGTAAAAAAAGTTGTTTTTTACATTTTTGAAATAAGGAATAGTCTTCTGATAATAAACAAAAAAAAAATTTCTGAGGATGTGTTGCAAGGTCTTAGAGCATGTTCCTATGCACCGTGTATTGTTAAAAAACTCAGTCACTTATTCTTTAACAACTCATTTACTAATGGAAATTTACATTAACTACCTAGTTAACTAGTGGTAAAATGTTAAAATAAAAAGATTAGAGGTTTTATTTCTACACCTCTGGAAGTACGGAGCTCAACCTGAGTTCGAGGTTTCATTTCTACGCCTCTGAAAGTACCGAGCTTAACCTGAATCTCTGATTTTTTTACTTTTTTTTAACTTAAAACTTTATTTAAATAATAATTTTTTTTTTTTTAGTTTTTAAGAAAGTTTATTTAATTGAAAAAAAACTTCATCCTACTTTAACATTTGGGGATAACGAAATGTGCAAGCCCAATGGGTAATTAAAACAAAACCTTAAACTTAAAAACTAAAGTAATCATGATAATAAGTAAAAAAACAATCAATTAATAGAAGAATTTTTTTGATGATGTTGAGTTGATGAAATGTTCTAGAGCTTGAGTTGTCACTTGTACCTTTTAATGCAATAAAACTTAGTGCCTTTGACATATTACTTTGGTACGTATGTTTGACAAAGCCAAACTCTTTATTTTGAATTTTTGCATCGATACTATTCACTATTTTGACTTGCTGAATCTTTGTCCGAAGCTTTGTGAAATTTTTACACTTAGTTTGCTGTTGCTGTTGGAGACATAGTTATTATTTTATTTATATGCTGCTTATCATCAAAGTTAAACTTATGTTGTTTCCTAGCTCGCTATGATGCTTTTTGCTTCCAGTTTATTGATACTCATTTTTGATCTTAACTCCTCTACATTTTTTTGTGTCGATGTGTTGAATGTGAAACATTTGTTGAAAAGCAATTGGGCCAATTGTAACTATTTTCAATTTTTTTTTGGATTTCGATTTAAACAGCCAGAGTTACTAAAATATTAGAGGTTAATGAGTTGGCTTTAAAGTTGACTCAGAGTTTAGAGTTGAAATATTGCCAACAAAAACAACAGCTCTGTTGCTAAATTTATAAATCAATTTGTTGATGAAAGCTTGTACCAATCTCTTTCTGTTCTACCGTTCAAAAATAAATGAGATTGATCTTAGTGTTGCAAATTGGATAATTTGACAAGCGCACCAACTAGAGTTGATTCAAGTTGTAGTGGCAATTTTATGTTTGAACAGCTAAAAACAGCTATAAAGGGTTGCTACTGGTATGCTGAATATATGAGCAGGTTTATTTTTGTTTTGTACTTTAACCACTACAAGTGTGACTTACACATTAATGCATGGTTTTTCTTTTTTCATTTTTGCCCATTTTTTAAAGAAAAAATAAAAATTATTACACTGCCGAAAATTTAAAAAATTTATCAAGAACAACAAAAAAAATATTTATTTTTTATTAAAATTTTATTTTTGGTAACGAATTATTTTAGAGTGAAAGAGTTTCATATATTCATATACAGAAATCAAAACAAATATTACTTGAGAAGAAAGTTTTCAAAATTTAAATTATGCATCCTTTTTTGCTATTTATTCTTAAATGACAAAAATTACATGGCGATAATAGCGTAGCAACAAAAAATGCCCCTCCACTGCAAAACTTTAATTCAGGCCCCTAAGTTTCTTCTCTACCCTCCCCCCAACTCTTTGACAAAAAAAATGTTTATTTTAGTAGTCTATTCACTACAAATGTGATGCAAGCTTTAGTAAAAATGTGATGCAAGCTCTAAGAAAAATATGATGCAAGCTCTAATAAAAATGTGGTGCAAGCTCTAATAAAAATGTGGTACAAGCTCTAATAAATATGTGGCGCAAGTTCTAATAAAAAAATACCAAAAAAAAAATTATAAAGCAAAATCGTAATGACTAGAAGATATTTTTATAAAGAAAATTTATCAAAAAAGAGCCTATTTAGTTAAATTTAATGAATTAATAAATAAGGAATACCATGATTTTCAAAATTATGTGCATATCTTGTTTCATCTAAAAAAAAATCAAAAGTTGGCCTATAAAAATATTAAAAACTAAACTGTGCAACAAAACATTGACATTTATTTTGTTACTAAAATTTTATAAAAACAACCTCATGTACACAAAAATAACAGTAGTTCATATATAAAAAAAATCCTCATATACTCAAAAACAACAGCAGTTCATATATAAAAACATCATCATGTACTCAAAAGCAACAGTAGTACAAATAAATGTAGCACAAATATTAACTGTGAAAAATTTCATACAACAGTTTTGTATAGAAAAAAAAAAAAAAAAAAGCAAGATTACAATTATCCTCAACAATAATTGTTTGTATAATATTTTCTATTTAAATTTCCATTTTATTATTTATAACATTTTTTTATTTATAACAACTCTGTTAATTAAAAAATAAAATTTAAATGTGGTGAAAATGTTACTAAAATTATCTACATAACATAGCAGCTAATGTAACATAAGCATTTTTACCATTATGTAACATAAGTATTTCTACCAAATATAAGTAGATGTATATGAGATGTATATACCTGTTTACTAACATAAGTCAGTGTCTGTTCCAGTTTACATAAGGGGTCTTCCATAAAGTACATACACAAGTATGGGACAGAGGGAATTACCCAAAAACGTATGAATGTGTATAAGGAAAAGGGGGTGCTAAAGGCAGCAAGTACATATGCAGTTTGACTCTTGTTTTCTCTCTCCTAAAACGTGATTTCTTTTTTTTAACAAAAGTATTGAATTTCACCAGTTTAAAAAATCAATATTACGTTATGCAACAGAGAAATATCAAATTGAATAAAAATTTTTTGGCTTCTAATATTTTGAAAAATGTATGCGTTTAAGAGGGAAGTAAAGGGGATTTAGTAATAAATAGTAGGGATGTACTGAAACCAAGAATTTGCAAAAGCCAAAGCCTTTCAGAAATAGTAACAAATTGGTTTCTGAAAAAGTTGCTGTACAACAAAATTGCACAACTATTTTAAATTATTTCTACAATTATTGGAAACCAAGCTTTAGTAAGTTTAATTACCAAAAAATAATTTGCCAAAGCCAATGATGCAGCAAATAATACCCCTGGCTTCAGCCAAAACCAAAGCTTTAGCAAAAATGCTGAAGCTTGAGTTTTGGATGTACTGTATTTTTGGTTAGGGATTTACTGAATTTTTGGTACATCCCTAATAAATTTTAGTACATCCCTAATAAATTTTATTCTAATGCGGTAGTGGTGTAGTGGTAAGAGCGCTCGCTTTGTAAGCGAGAGCTTCGGAGTTTGACTCCCACCATCTCCCTAGAAGTACCGCGCTCAATTTCTCCGCGCAGCGGCCTTGCTTGTCAATGTTGGTGTTTCGGAGTTAAAGAGTTGAGAGAGGGTTGTACCATGATTTACAACAACAAAAAGAAAAAAAAAAAATAGTGCTTATGTATGCAGAGGGAGGGGTCATTAAAAGGATAACAGTGCGTATAAGAGGGGAGGGGGTTCTAAATCAGTAGTTTTATTGCATAGGTACTTTAAGGATGCCCTCTAACCTAAAATAAAACCTACTATACACAATGGCATTACATTTACAAAACTTTAATATAATTAAATATACAAATGTAACAGAAATATTTATTAAACAAATGTTACCTAATCCTGCAAATATACTAGATTCTGATAAAGATCTTTTCAAAGGTTGAAATCCTTTAGAAGCATGAAAAGAATTAACTTTATCTTCATAAATAGCATTTAATGTTTCTCTGTAAAAAAATATAATATAACACCATTTTAACTTTTGTTATTTTGATTTTGGAAACTTTATTAAAAAAAAGAAAAAAGAAGAAAAAACTATTTCTCTGACAAAAGTAAAAAGTATAAACAGATTATTATCTTAAATTTTATTTTCTATTTTCTATTTTGTATTATAATTCATATTATAAATTTTATTTTATATTTTCTATTTTGTATTATAATTCATATTTTATTCAATAAGATATAACTTGACATTTTTACATCGACTTTTTTTCTGAGTTGTGTCATTTTTGCATGGTTTATTTAATGTAATGTTTTTAGTTTGTTAGTCTAACATAAATTACAATCTGCATACCAGTACAATAACTTCCTATCACTAAAACTTTTATCTCCTGAACTTAACAACCTACTTAATAAAAGACCACTACCAATTAATTTCATCACCATCTATATAGCATAAACACAATTGCTTTTATCCATGTTACTCCTCAATCAAAAATACATAAATTCAGTTTTAATAACTAAAGTTGTTGAACACCCACTCCTTGTAAAAAGTTTGTATGTTATTGATATAAAAGATCTTTAATATTAGGAATAATACAATTTATTTCATAGAGAAAATTTATTTGTTAATGTTATTATAAATGCAAAAATAAATTAAAGGTAAAAATAAAATACAAAAAATAGTAATATAAAACAATTAGTAATTGAATTAATTACTGTTTATTGCATGCTATATACATACATATATATATATATATATATAATATATATATATATATATATATATATATATATATATATATATATATATATATATATAAATAGTATTGCGTACTAAGGTAAGCAATCTGACATCATACTGAAATAGCCTGGGGCTGGGGGCTTCAGTACATACATCGACTGACAAATAGCCTGACTTGCAGTGGAGTGCTGGTACATCGACTGAGGGTTTGGGATGGGGCAGCAATTGTTTAATTCATCATTCTTCGTTTTTTTCTTTTTTTTTCTAAAAAAGCCTTATGGGTTAAGGTAAGCAAAAAAGTGAGCAAAAGCTTATAAAAAAAAGCTTTAGTAAGTGTATATACATACATATATATATATATATATATATATATATATATATATATATATATATATATATATATATATATATATATATATATATATAAAGCTTTAGTAAGTGTATATACATACATATATATATATATATATATATATATATATATATAATATATATATATATATATATATATATATATATACAGCTATTCACGGAAGTTTAAACGAGGATGTAATTTTAAGAACAAATCTTTGGTTTTTCTTTAATAAAAATGTAACGGAAATAGATATCAAAATAATTTTTCCCCATTTGGTAACTAGGTTTTCTGATCAAAAATAAATAAAAAAAGTAGGTTTTGACTCATAAGTGATCTCTTGGGAATTTGATTAGTAGATAGGTGTGAGAAATTAATTGGTGTCATAAAAGTTTAAACGAGTTTATTAAAATTCAATTATTTGTTAAGTAATTAATTAATCCGTTGCGAAAATTGTTTTAAAACATAAATATAAGTAGATTGAGTGGTTTTCTGTCACAACATTATTCAACAGCTTCATATTCAACGAAAATCAACTGAAATCATTGCAAATTTCAAACAATTTCAAATTGCATGCAAAAACCAGTTTCAAGTGAGATCAAATGGCAAATTATTGGTATGTCTAAGTCAAAAATTCGCAGCAACGTTCAAATAGGCAAAAAACTTAGGGTTCCTGAATCTTGTGTATGAAAAACAGTCAAAACCTGTAAGCTTACCAAGGACGTTGTTGACATGCCGCGTTGCGGAAGACCATCGAAGCTTAGTGACCATGAAAAAAGTAGCATATTCAGAAGCTGCAGAGAGAATCCTAGGCACAGCTACAAAAAGCTAGCACAAATCTTCAACGAGTCGAAAAATAAACATAATGTAAGCAGAGAGCTCGTTAGGTGAACATTGCTGCAAAAAGGTATTGGAACGTACATTGCAGCAAGAAAACCTATTTTATCAATCATGGACCGACGTAAACAGCGATTATGGTCAAAAGAAAGATTAAGCTGGACTGTTGAAGACTGGTTAAAAGTTATTTGGAGTGATGAAGCTAATTTTCAAGTTGTAAACCACAAGAGTAAGAATGTCAAAAGATTTGCAACAGAGAAATATTCAGAACGGTTTTTGCAACCACGTCAACAAGGCGGTGGAGGTTCCATTGGTATTTGGGGATTTTTTTCTCACAAAGGTATCGGAATGTGTGAGCTGTACGAAGGCTGAATAAATCAGTACACCTACAAAAATACATTGGAAATGAGTTTAATACCATCAATAAGACAGTTGTATGGTAGAAGCAAGCAATTTATCTTTCAACAAGACGAGGCTCCAGCTCATACAGCTAAATCAATCAAAGAATATTTTTTGCAAAAAAAAAAAAAAATGTGATCCCTTGGTGCCCTAGATCACCAGATCTCAACCCAATTGAAAATATTTGTTCTTGGATTGACAATCAACTTATTTATTACCAAATACAATCAACTGAGCACTTAAAGCAACTTTTGAATGAGTACTGGTTGAAGGTACCTCGAGAGATGTGCATGAAATTAGTTGAATCGATGCAGAAACGAATTTACCTTTGCTATAAAAACAAAGGCGGACATTTTAAATATTAACTTGGCATTTTATTTCCATTTTTTATTTGTTTGTAAAATTTCGTTTAAACTTTTGTGCTACTCATTTTTCACATGTTTATGTTTGTAATTAACTTTTTTTAAGTTTATATAAATCATTTCATAACAAGTTCACATTTATTCTAAACCAAATTACTTTTTATTTAACAAATAAAAAAAAAAGTCGACATCATTTTTATTTTTTTCTTTATAAAGAAAAAAATAAACCTACTTGATCAAAATTCTCGTTTAAACTTTCGTGAATAGCTATATATATATATATATATATATATATATATATATATATATATATATATATATATATATATATATATATATCATATATATATATATATATATATATATATATATATATATATATATATATATATATATATATATATATATATATATATATATATATATATATATGTTAAGCTGCCGGCAAATTTAATATAATAAAAATATTTTATTATTAATATTTAATAATAAAAAGTAAAATTGATAATAAAAAAAAGTTTAATTTTATTCTATTTTTATTTAATATTAATTTAAAACAAATTTAATAAAAATATATAATTTTATTTTGAAAATGTATAATTTGATTTAAAATATATATACTTTAATTTTGATTAAAAATATATATTTAAATTTATGAAAATTAAATCTAAGGCTTGGGTTTAACTTAAGTGTCAAATTTATTTAAAAACATTTATTCAACAAAATTTTGTTTAATATTTAAATTTTGTGGGCTGGCTTGGTGTAGTTCAGAGATATATCTTTTACGCTGGTTACTAACAACACAAGACTCTACTGAACGACATAAACGGAACTTTTTTTTTTTTTTGTATGTTTTGTATATGTGCTTATCGTGTTTTTTTGAACTCTTATATCTTTGTTTGAACTCATCCTTTTTTAGATAATATTTTCTTTTACTAGATTGTATGTGGTTGTAATATATATACAGATTTGTATGTTTTGTATATGTGCTTATCGTGTTTTTTTATTATCGTGATTATTAATCGTGTGGGATTGATTGTTCATTTTATGATTCATATATAAAAATATATATAAAAGCGATTCTTAAAAACTCACAACTTTTAATATGCTTTGTTGATGTATGACTTTTCCTTGTTAGTTTTGTTATGGTCTCAAACATTGTTTAGTATGGACCTTTGAGAAAACTCTACTTTTTGATATTTCGATTTTGTTAAGGTTTCTAAGTTGCTTTGATTCGGACTATATAAAATAACTTTACCTCTTTAACAAAAAAAAATTTTATCAATAAAAATTTAAACTATTTGTTAGTTTATTGTTCTAGCATGTAATAACTTATATTATATGCATCTATTTTACCATTAAGTTTATCGTTTAATGGTGTCTATCATTTAGTTCGGATCCACAAACTTTAATACTGTGTTTAATACTGTTTAATACTGTGTTAATACTATTCAGAGAATTTTTCTATATCCTTCATTTAATGTCTACATTTATGCCAGTGACTTTATTAAAGTCTTTGTGCGACAATTTTTTTCGCAATCACACATTGTTCTATCATTGTTATGATTTTGGGTTTCGCGGGTTTCTCATTTTCCTACACTTTTGATTGGTTATCACATTTCGAATGAGGTATCTATGACAGCGTTAGAGTTTATTAAAGGCTATTGTTGTTTTGTTGATTTAAAAAAAAAAAAAAAAAAAATTTTTAATGAGGTATTCTGTTTTCTGATTATCTTTAGCTTGTTTATGCTAATAATACCTATTTGGTTTTATATCTTAAAATGAATTTATTGATATTTTTATGTTTCTATTAAAATTTTAATTTATTGTGCTTTCATGTTTTCTTTCGGTGGTATGGTAAGTGATTTATTTAGTTATTTTTATTTATTTTTTACAGTTTATCTACACTTTTCATATCATATCATTAAAAAAACATTAGTGTTTTACAAATTTGGGTTTTGGCTATTTGTAGTGAGTCCTTTTTTACTGCAGTATGGATAAGGCGTAAGTCGCAGGGTAAAGCACAAGTGGCGATGATGTTTGTCTGACAGGATAAACTAGTTATAAGTGCTGATCCTCATCGAAACGTCTGTAATAATAGACGCGACTCTTCGTTCGTATTAGTTTTTTTTATGAAACAATTTTTTGTTATTATTATTGTGAGTGTTGTCTGTCTTATTTGTTTTGAAACTTTCCTCTATTAATCTTTATTTTTGTCTTGACAATTGTCAAAATATGCTTCGTTTGATAAATAATTCTTCTTTTTTTTAATGTACTTCATTTCTTCCCTCGGGTGTTCACTGCTCGTGTGTG